AAAAAAAAAAAATTATTTAGATTTAAAGTGCAACAGTGTCCCCCCCGGCCCCTTAAAAGCACGGTAAAAAGACTCACCAACACCACCACGTCAACGCCCGCCTGCACCAGAAGGTCCAGCCTGTACTTGTCGTCATCGCGGGTGCCGATGGCGGCACCGCACAGCAGCTGCTTACGCGAGTCTTTGGAGGCCAGGGGGTAGTCGCGGTTCTTCTTCAGATCCGTCCTGGCGATGATGGCCACGAGCTCGTCGTTGTCATTCACAATGGGCAGCTTGCCTGTTTTGCATCAAGAATGTCAACCGATGACAACAAACTGACCCAAATAAGTATTTTTACCTTTTTTACTGCGCTGAAGAATGTCGTTTGCTTCTTTCAGCGTGACGCCAGCCGGAGCGACCACCAGCTCATCCCTCTTTGTCATTGCCTTAAACGGCACAAGCAGAGAACTTATATAGTCTATATTTTGATATTCTAGATGAATCCATGGATAAGATGCATGCGTTCCCAGCTCACACCTCCGCCAAAGGCTTGGTGTGGTCCTTCTCCGAGAGGAAGTCGATATCCCTGGAGGTGACGATGCCCACCAGCTTTCCGCCCATTTTGCCCGTTTCGGTGACGGGGATACCCGAGAAGCCGTGGCGCATTTTAGCCTCAAGCACATCGCCGACAGTCTGGCGCGGGCTCATCACCACTGGGTCCGTGATGAAACCTTGCTCAAATCTCTGAAATTTGAATGGCATGTATAGAAATACAAATTTTAAAGTAAACTAAAAAAAAGATGATCACTGGATTGACGATGACAAGATAACGCTGGCATACCTTGACCTTGCGGACCTCATTTGCTTGGAATTCCGGTGTGCAGTTGTGGTGGATGAAGCCAATGCCTCCCATTAGCTATGAAGTCAATAAGATTCTTTGAAATTGAGTCATCATGATATTAAAGCACCCACATGATCAACAACTTACTGCCATTGCGATAGCCATTGCCGACTCTGTAACGGTGTCCATGGGGGATGAGATGAGGGGGGCCTTCAATGTGATCTTCTTGGTCAGCGCTGATGTTAAATCCTAACAGGTGAAAAAATATTGAAATAGTCAGCTCGTTTCAACGCCCGCGTATTTAT